AATAATTGAATCAATGTGAATGTTGTTAAATATATTAAATTGGAAGGTATACCAATCATTTTTCAATAAAATTAGACTAATAATCTATTATATTAATTGAGTGAAAAAATTTGCTTTTTTAAATTAAATTTTAAATTTAAATCTTATAAATGAAGACGCAAGTTATGAGAGAACTTTTTCTTTTATGAATTTTAACATAACTCAACTTTAAATTAAACGGAATTAAATATAACTTTCAAATATTAGAAGTTTAGTATAAAAAAAAATACAAAATTGGCTTTTTTATGGTTAGGGCCTACGTTTTATTAAGAGAAAAATCATATTAAAACTACATCGTTTTAATAACTTTTTATTGAAAAAGACTAAACTACCATATTTTTAAAATATTAATGGATCAAAGAACCTACAATTACAGCTACAAATTAATATTATAAAACATATTTTATATTAGAATTATTTTGAAAAATTATATTCTAAAATATTTTTAAAATTGTATATTCGGACTACTATTGATTTAAAAAAGTTATTCAGACCACTGTTGGTTCGAATAAGGTGCCCATAATATATAAGCTTCTCATCTCAAACTTTTTCATTCTTTACATTTAAGAACAATCTCACCCAAACAAGTCTCGATCCCATTTCTACCAAAATCAACTGCGTGCACTAAACTACTATAGTTGCCCCTATCCTTGGCGCCATCGGTTAGCCGCCCTAAATAGTGTCATGGTGGTGTAAGGAAACATTATTGCAAAATTGCAAATGTGTAGAGTTATAATCATTAACTTTAAGATTATGCCACGCTGTTACTAAACCAGAAACATGTAGGCTTGGTATTGTTACTTTTAAGGTTAAACTCTATGGTATTTAAGCCTTTTAGAGCATTTTTTTTTTAATAGAAGTAAAACGAATCGAGCACGGTTTGAGATGTCAAAGGGAAAAAAGGATTCTGATCAACATATTCGGACCATTGTTGGTCTGGAATACTTATTCGGACCAACAATGGTCCAAAAAAGGTGCGTAGAATTTAGAAGCTTCCTCTCTTAGACTTTTTCATTCTTTTCATTTAAGGATAATACCACTCAAACGAGCCCTGATTCTGTTTCTACCAAAACCAATTGTGTGCAGTTCACTACTATAGTCGCCCCTGACCTCGATGCCATAATTAGCCACCTGAAATGGCTTCATGGTGGCGCAAGACAATATCATTGCAAAATTGCAAATGCGTAAATTTAAAGATCATTACTTTTAAGGTAATGCCACGCCGTTACTTAACCACAAACATGTAGGCTTGGTATTGCTAACTTTAAGGTTATTTATGGCATTTAGGACTTTTAGAGCATGTTGTTTGAACAGCACTAGAATGAATCGGGCAGGGTTTGGGGTGTGAAGGAAAAAAAAAAAAAAAAAGAT